CCACTGGTTCCAGCATGACTATGCTTCAAGTGCTGTCTGAAATGGTCTGCGCGGAAGAATTTCTTGGCTTGGTTGCATTCACCAAACTTGTGCACGTGATTAAGATGCTCAGTTCGCGCTTCCCAGTCGGCGGGGTTGGAAAACTCTTCACCGCAATACCCACACACATCTGCCACGGCTGGACGAGTAGGTGAGGGATGGAAAGCTGCCTCGATCTTGACGAGAGTGGCGCACGACCAAGAATGACGGCGTAGATGAAGGGAATTCTGATGGCGCTCCGCCTCGTTCTTATTCTTGAAGCGATTGGGACAATACAGGCAAGTGTACTGCTTCTCTAGTTCGTGTGCTCTATTGCCAGGGTCAGCGTGATTATTCAAGGGTGGGCAGACCAAATGGCGGTGGGCAAGCGAGGATCCATGCACTTACCGTAACTCATCTTCACTGTCGAATTTCTTGGGTTTCTTAGGACAGCATTCGCAAATATAAGCCCCCGGTATGCGGCTTGCGATTGAATTCTGACGCGAGTGTAACATGCTCTCCGTAGACATCTTTCGTATCTGCGGATGCTCGGCCTCTGAGAAACCCCGTTGATGCGGAGGTCGCGACAACGACCCGCGGGGACTAGGGTCCAGCGACCTATTAGCTGCATATGGCGAGACTGCGCCTAACTCTGTTTCGCCCAAAGGCGACAACGCACTGGGCGATAGGCGCTGATCTCCGCAATAACTTGCCATGCTACTTGGAGCGGTTGAAAAGCCAAATGAGGAGCCAATCGAGCCACTACGTTGACTTGCGGATCCAGCGGAGGACAGTGAGTTTTGGGTTGACTGAAAACGCGAAGCTGTGCAGTTACGATTGACGAGCATTTGCTGGGAGCGACGGTGGTAGAGGTCGTTATGGCCAGTCGGAATCGGACGGTCATCGCGCGCGGCTTCAGAGGGCGGGGACGAGGCCCGCCGTTTCAGGCCACCCTTTGGGCCTAACTGATAGTCCTCTGACTCGGCAGGGCTGCGCTCGTTGATGTTCAAATCGCGCATTCCATTCTCTTCCATGCCAACAAACTCAGGGTCCGAGAATATGCTATGATCGTAGCTACCACGATGTTGTGAAGAAGTTTCGTCCAGAGGACCTGGCGTTGAGATGCTGCCGTAACGTGATCTGTATGAATCCGCCGAGTCGAAGCCAGGACTTCGCCAGCCACTGTAGCCAGGTGATGTAGCCGGTACGGTCAGTGGCTTCAGCTGGCCGTTGAGCTTATGTGAAGAAGCGTGTGTGTCGGCGGCGGGGTCTTGGGTGTTGCCAGAGGGGAGTGGTGGTGCAGTCGTCCGTGTGGGTGTATTCGGGCCGCCAATTTTCGAAAGCAGTTGTTTGTCGTAGGCTTGCGATGAGTTCTGGAGGGCTTTTTGACCGAGTTGTCGCTCACTCGTAAACCTGTCGCTCATTGTTAGTTACTCAACTGGCACGCAAGACGACTGAAATGAGAAAGCCAGCCATTTGTATGCACAAGGGATACAAGCAACCCTTGACAAGTTCTGGACCAATCGAAAAGCGTGTGAATCCTCCAAAAGACCGGGATCTGCCAGAGAAATGACAACACCGCATCTTAACCAAAGACACTCAAGTGCTGCAGGGCCTTGCAAGAGCCTTGATAGTACTTGCTCTATGATATGAAGGGAGATGTGCTAGCGTGTTCCGTACCTGTGGTTCCCGAGAGAGGGCCGAGCTTTGCTACTACGGTCGTCTTCGCTGGTGCTGTGTTCGCTCATACCGTCGATGGATCTTGAGAGGGACGGTTCGCGGCCGTGGTTAAACATATCGAGCGAAGGTTCCCGCGGGTGGCCGCCTGTGGCTCCACCGTATAAGCTCGAGCCAGGTTTAACTGTCGCGAGCCGATTTCCGCCAAAGCCGGTGTCCCTTGGGCTGTTTGTGTTACCCCATTGCCAACCAGGGTCTTGACCACCTCTGACTTCGATGTGACGTGGAGGAGGCAAGGGAGGTGGTGGCTGTTCGCGTGCCTGTAAAAACGGTACAGTCAGTGAGGGATTCATATGACGTATTGTGTCTCGGATGAGGCTGAAGTGCTTTGCGACTCAATCAGGAGCTATTTCTGGCGTGATGAAGCCACAAAGCGCTCTAGACCTCTCCGTTGTATCCAATAGCTGGAGCACACGCTGACATACTCTCGGGATGGCCATTGCGACAGCCGGGGTTGGTATCGACGGTCGGCGGTGGTGTGGTAGTTGGTAGTGGTGGGATTCACGCTGAGAATCATATACGCGAATACTCGGTGTGGAGGACATGGCTCGCGTGGAAGTTGAGGTCGCCGGGAGCCCGCCACTAAGGTGCAGCTGAAGCGTACTCGCGCAGCACGCGAGCAGCGCAAATGTGGCGAGCGCGACGAGCAAGAGTGAGTATGCTCGCTACTGGATAGTGTATGCAAGCACGGACCCTGGAGTAGAATGGTTAGCCGGAATGTACACGGACTGGCCGAAACAGGCAGGGAATGGGAGCAGGAGGGCGGGCAGAGGCAGCTGAGCTCGCGCGATTGCGTACTAACGTGCAACGTACCTGTGCGGTCGGTCGAGGGGACGTACGCGTCGTTGGGATGGCTTCTCGACGGCGAGGCTTACAAAAGCGAAAGCGGGGGCGCTAGCGCTTGCGGCTGTTGAAAGTTCAGCCCTACGAGGGCGGAGGGTCCTTCAGCTGAACGGGAGGGTTCTGGCCAGCACCGCCACACAAAGATATTGCTTCTTTTCACCCGAAAGCAGTCGTCATATGACCAGTCTGGTGCGAGCAATGCAGCGAAGAGTCGTCAGGGCCCCGGAAGCGCACAGTTCCTGCTACACGGCAGCGAACAAGATGGCGCGGGAATGCGGTAGGGTCCCTAGCGTCGAGGCGAGTGGAGTAGAATGGAAAAGGAAGCGTGCTCGGCCGCCGGCGTCGTCTGTTCCGTCGCGGCGATGTTTGTGCAGAACAGAGGCGCCGCTGGACAGCAACAGCAGCAGCAGCAGTTGGCAGACGGAGCAGAAGAAATGCCCTCCACCGGGGAGTGCGGTTAGCATAAAGCATACGCTCGAATGTCGGTGATTGGCCATGCCTTGGTTGCTCCTGGCACGGAGCGCAGTGGAGCTCCAGCAGGGGTGAGATGCAACCCTTAGGCGGTCGGAGGAGGGCTCTCGCTTTCGAGAAGCTTCAAGGTCCACGCCGCGACGCTCGTCTCGTGCATAGGGCTTGCCCTTAGCGCCTCGACGTCGACTCGTAGATTGCAGTGACGGGCGACGACCTCCCAGCAGCGTGGGCGGGCGCGCAGGCGAACCAGAACAATCAATCGGGGATTGGCGCCCGCTCTACGCAGACCAAGTAGAGCCGCCGTGCGTAGACGTCAGGCCGGTGCAACGGTGAGAGGGCTGGTAGGGCAGGCGCAGAGGCTGCCGACGGCGCAGGCCCGCTGGCTGACGAGGGCAGCATGCCTGGAATCTGACCAGACTGTCCAACATGCAGACGTTGCGCTTCGCCTCGATGGGCATGGGGGACTGCGGTGCAGACGGCACAGCGTCAGATTCAACCGTGTGGGTTAGACTCGACGGCGGGTAGCGGGAGGCCAGTGCACGGATGCTGAGCAGTTCCAACAGCGTAAGCCCCTCGCAGCCTTACACTCTCCCTCCTGGGCATCAGTCAGGCTGAGACGGCTGTCACCCAGACACGCTGATCTGCTGATCCGTCGTCCACGGCCTGCCTTCATCACTGCGGGGCGTACACACTATGCACTCTGTCTGGTGCACCATGGTATTTTTGGTACCTGCACTCGTCGTACATACAGGCCGAGAACGGCACCCTCTATCTGGGGCCCTATCTCGATTGGCATCGCCTGCACTGTCCCTGCTCGCTGCTGCATCCAGGGTACCTCGTGCTGTCACGCGTATTACTCCGGGGTATCGGCCCCAAGCCGAACCTACTATTGCAGTCGGAGGGCGACAGTGGTACCTCGTAGCATTCACCGGCGAGTGGGTCCTGCTCTGTGGTCAGGTAAGCGGCGCTCCAGCTGCTTTGAGACAGCGCGAACCAGCAACGCGTGCGTGATGTCAGCGACTTTGTAACCCTCGTCGGCGACATGGAATATCAAATTCGCAACTACCGCTCCCCTACCCGTTTGCCAGAGGAGTCTGATGCGATTCGCCGAGATGCGGGACGAGGCGGCACCGCCAGCCTTGCGAGAGGCCGGGGAGTACAAGCAATTCGCTATTTCTGTCTCTCGGTAGCGGCTGCAATATTGCCTGTCTCACGATGCCAGCAACACCACACCACCGACACGAGACAAAACATGGCATTCAGTGACCGCTGTCGAGAATTCCGGCTGCTCGGGCAACTCAAATACGCTGGGGGCGCAGCAACAACGGTCTTAGCCCTTCATAGAACTGGAATTTCTCGATTCGAGCTATAGCCTCATCCATGTTAATGGTATGCAGTCCCTGATCCACTGTGTGTAGCCCCGCGGTCTTGCGGAAAATACCGCTGACTGCAACGACGCATGACTCTCTCCATGACAGTTCTTATTGCAAAGGGCTTCACTAAAGACTGTGAACTACGGGTCAGTACGGGCAAGGCGTGGAACGTAGTCCATGCACCTATAAGGCTATCAACTACTAGCTCGGCAACGTAATTGAAGCTGGTGGTGTCTTCACTGCGATGCTTGGCCGTGCCTCTGACACGCAACTTTGGAAACTCATACATCGATGCAAGGGTTCTGAAAGTGACCACACTATGTAGCAGTCAATCGAGCGTGTTGCAGCATCTCCAAATTTAACAAACCACTTATCTGATGCAATTACGGGTGGTCCGCAATTTTGGCGGGCAAGCGCGATCAGAAACCCAGGACCCTCGGCCAAAATTAGACCCTCTTCTCGCACACCTCCAACAACTCGCGCCTCTTCCAAGTTTATTGATCGTCATACCCTCATCTCCGGCGTCCGATTGTTCTCGGAGCCCTCCCTTTGCCTATCATGGCGCTCATCGACAGAGTGCCCGGGGACCTGAACCTGTACATTGGTGGGTACGTAATGTCGACGGTCGACCATCGTTTCGCATCTACCCCATGGCCCAGGTCTGGGGTCACCAGACTACTGTCTAACCAGTGTTGCGTAGCATGTTCACGCTGCGACGGCGCGAAGCCCTCCAGCAAGCCAATATCACGCACGTCTTGTCGGTATTGCGTACACCACTAGATCAAGACTTGTTTGGCCCCTTCAAGCACATGGTTGTCGAGGTCGACGATGTCGATGACGAGAATCTATTGGAGCATTTCCCTGCTACAAACCGCTTCATCCAGGAGGGGCTCCAGGGAGGTGGCGGAGTCTTGGTGCATTGGTAAGTCAACATCCCGGTCGAGCTGAATGAAGCCTTGCACTTGCATATTCCAACAACTCTGGATCGCCGCCGACGACTGCCCTGCTTGGCAATTTTGCCATCTTCACAAAAGACGACAGCCCCTGGGCGTCGTCACCAGCATGCAAGTCATGCAGCCTGCTTTTGCTTTCCGCGCGTCCTGCATTCTCTTTTCAATCTTTTCTCGCCTTCCGTTTTCCGCGTTTTTTCTCCGAACTACACCGCCCTGTCGCCACTCTATTTGCCCTCAGCCACTCGTATCAATATGCCAACCACAACCTCTGTTCTAGTGCTATGGGCAAGTCACGATCGGCTACCGTCGTCATCGCGTATTTGATGCAAGAGCACAACATCAGCCCATCGGAAGCTCTGTCGCACGTTCGGCAAGCGCGATCCATCTGCGAACCAAACGAGGGCTTCATGAAACAGCTCGAGCTATACGGTGAGATGCAGACACCAGAGAACGTCGAAGACACCCCGGCCTATCAGCGCTGGGTCTACCAACGCGAGATCGAGCTGAGCCGCGCGTGTGGCCAAGCTCCAGAGGCGGACAAGATCCGCTTCGAGGACGAACATGTCACCGATGAAACTTCCGGCTTCGAATTGAGATGTCGTAAATGCAGGTAAGTGGAGCTGTGCGAGAGCAGATTGATGTCACCCTGCTGCCTGTTGCCGCCCGTCTTGCTCAGCGCTTACAAAATTTCAGACGAGCATTAGCAACGTCAACGTATCTACTATCGCATGGGTCAGCTTCCTCCGTCAGCGATGAGACACCAGAAGCTAAGAAAGCCTCTTCGCAAAATTGTTCCCACTACTTCCTAGATCCCCTGTCCTGGATGCGCCCCGAGCTCGAACAAGGCAAGTTGGAAGGCCGACTCGAGTGTCCAAAGTGTCACACCAACGTAGGCAAGTATGCCTGGCAGGGCATGCAATGTAGTTGTTCAGAGTGGGTCGTCCCCGGTATCAGCCTGGCGAAGGGTCGAATCGACGAAGCTCGGAAAGCAAACTTTGGCATCCGTCGGCCGCCGGGAGCATCAGGTGCGCCTCCGCTGGGGGCAGCTCAGGCAAAGGAGAACCTATGAGGTGGTTGGACGAGGTTGCCACGTTCTGTTCGGCGAGATGAGAATGCGGCTCGTACTTAGCGTCTTCACCGGCGGCCTGTGCCTTGATCATATACTCAAGATGGATATATCTCCGATCCACTCACCACCACGACGTCGATGGTGAAGTGCTCATCCGATCGGAAATAACACTAGCCGGGCAGCGACAGGCAACGAGCAGTAAGCATGATTGATCGATGGATTGCTACCAACCGATCCAAAAGCCTCAGACCATTACGAAACCTACGACCAGAGCGCGGGTACGTCGCCCGTAAAAAGTCAATGTGCTATGATTCATAGCGAATGAATTAGTGATACTATGTCATCAGAGTCCTTCACTCCACATCTCCTGATAGCTACGAGCCAAGCAACCTGGATCACGCCAGATGTGCTCGTACCTCAATGAGTTCGCCTATCAGCGTTTTCAAACTTCGTCACTGTGACACCTGAACAATCTTTCTTGATGACATGACATGACACGGCTCTACCAAAACGACGTTTCGACAACTGATTTACTTCTAGATGTTTCCCTCTTTGGATGATGGCTCAGATGATGCTCATATCAAACGCAAAAAACATGCTTGAGCGCCTCTTCATAGACAAATGCTCATCGAACTCCTGTGACATTCGTTCTATGTAGACTCGCTGTTATGACAGCCAGTAAGATATGAGATAAACAATTAACCCACCATTAGGGAACAGTAGAATCAATGTTGTACTGCTGCATGGTTGAGTCCACAGTCACCCAGTATGAGCTGCCGCAGTGATGGCATACAGACGGTCTCAAACCACAGCCGTCCGGCTCACACGATCTTGAGTCCTGCCCAGGCTTTCACACGACCTCTTGTAGCTCTACTACTACTGCATCTATTCTAACCCATTCCGACCTCAGTATTTGAGTATGCAGGCTATCCTTTTTCCACGAAGTGAACTGTGGTTCTCTTGTAGCTCAAGACTTCCATTACAGCCTCCAACATCTACATTGAACTATCGCAACAACACCACAGCACACGAACCTTTGAAATGGGCAACAGGTAAGATCGATGTAAGTATAGAAGAAGTGAAGTGTATTGATCAAAACGCCTGATATAATCGCCCCGCATACCCCAAAAATGAAGAAGCTATCTTGCTTCGTATGTGCTCATAACCGGTAGGCTTGTACAAAACCCCACACCAAAAAACTATAAAACACCCCAGCGCCATGCAGTAAACGACAGTAGAACGACATGAACGCCTAAGACAGTAGAGGAAAAATTAACAGACTGGTATCCGCGCCCAGAAGAATACAAAGAAAGGATAACGCCGGTTATCACTCCCATGTACACACAAGAACAACTGCGCAGCCATTCATCTTCTCATCTTATACAGAACTCTCGGAGCTCGTCGAAGCAACAGCCTCACTCTCAGCACTAGAACTCCTTGTAAGCTCCTCGCCGCCCTCGCCGCCTTCGAGGCCCAATCTCTCCATTTCTTCAGCAATCTCCTCGTACCATTTACCATGGCACTTGCGGTCCACCTCACCAACCTTGCTAAGCTGCTCACAGATATCCGCAACTTGGGATACAAACTCAGGCAGACCGGTAGTAGCAAGCCCCTCCGTAGCCGTACTGGCAGCTTTAACGCGCTCGCCGGAACTGCTAGCGCTAACGCGGTTGAAGATGTGTGTCTTGAGACGCTGGAAGAGGACTTTCATGACGGGGTCAGAGAGCTTGCCTGCCTCGGCTTGCGTGAGAAGACGGGTGATGGTGGAGGAGAGCTGGGAGCGTGTTGAAGGTGGCATGTTGCGGGATGACTCGAGGAGAGAGGAGATCTTGGAAGGAGTGGTGGGGTCGGACATGTAGCCGTTCTCCTTCAAGACCAGCCACATCTTGTTCGCCTCGGATTTCCATTGTGCGCGTACGTCACGTTTGAGGAGGTTCTTTGCTGTGAGCAGGATACCCCCGATTGTCGTGATGCGCAGTGCGTCTTCGCGAATGCGCGAGATGCGGGCGCGATCCAATTCGAGGGTCTCTGGTAGCTCAGACTTTCGTAGTGGTGGTGTAGCGATGGCGAGGTCGACGAGACCGCGAGCGTAGATCTTGTGCGCTGTAGGGCGGTTGATGGGGTTGGCTTGGCTCCAGGGATCGCGACGGTCGGCTTCGGTGTGCATGTTGACTGCTGCACTCCGCCACCATCGACGTGTGCGGTCGAGAGTAAGATTGTGCTCTTCCAGATCCTGGGTGAACATGCGCTGTTCGTAACCAACAGCCTCCTTGATGAGGGTCGGGGCAGCGTTCATCAACAGGAAGTTCGAGTAGTCTAACGACAGCAGGTCGATGACATGCAAAATCTTGAAGAGCTTCTCGATCATGCTTGAAAGCTTACCCTCTTCTTGAAGCTCCTCAGCAAGCAACTGAACCTCAGTGTCTCGGAAGGGTGCGCAAAGCTTGGGAAGAATGCTAGCAATGAAGTCGAAGAACTTTGCGTATGAGAAGACACCTTGACTGCACTGCCTGCCAACATGCTCAGGGTCCAAGGTCTCGGAGATGAGTGTGTGCATAGAGTTGCCAGGTTTGAGAAGTCGTAGTAGCTTTCCCCTAATATTCTCTGCCATGGCGGCAGTCCAGTTTGTACTGTCGCCCTCTTCGAATCCGCGTCTCATCGCGTCGCAAAGCTCACGGTTGAGAGCATCGCGGAGGTCAGCCGTTGGCGAAGGATCGATACGGTAGTCCTTGTCGATGGAAAGCTCGTGGACGAGAATGCGGTTATCGGGCACGACGGTAAAGACCTTGGAGAGCGACTGTGCCTGATGACCCTGAGCGGTAGAGTCTTGAATCTCAGCTTGTCCAGAAGCTGCAAGCTCCGAAGCAGCCTCAGCCTGCTTGGCCGCACTGTCGACTGAGAGTGGGGACTCCGGTGTTGACTCGCTCGCAACGCGCGGTCGAACAGTGTCTCCGGCCAGCCTCTTCTTCGGCCTTGACCTCCGACTTTCGCGAATGGCCTTCCTGATCAACGTCAGAGCCTTGTCAGGCCCTGCCAGCTTCTTAATTCTACTAAGTAGAATAGCCTGGTTATCCCTGATACCATTCCTGTACTCGTTTGCGACCTCATCCACCGTCGCGTCCTTGACGCTTTGCCATATCTCGTCGAGGCTGACGAATGAAGCCACCATTGTCTCGACGAGCGCAGAGGAGTCGCGAGCTTTCCAGTCGTTGAAAGCGGTAACGAATGCGCTATGGGCTAGCAGTACAGTCTCGGTACGTGTGGGAGATGGGGTGTATGAGTTGAGCTTTGTCAATTTGGCCAAAGCAGACTCGAAGCTGATGACAAGGTCTTTGGCTTTGGTGATGAGATCCTGTTCTTGGTCTCCGTCTCGACTGAAGACGTGTGTGGGGTGTCCCAGGATGAGGTAGGAGGAGAGGAAGGTTCGGACGGCTGCGCTGCGGGAGGCTGGGTCTGCGTCGGGCAGTAGCACAAACAGTGTCATGATTCTATCCGTTGTCTTGAGTAGCTTCTCGTCTGCGAGCATGCCGGTGATAACTTCGAAGCTGGTCTCCTGGACCATCTCAATTGACAAGCCAAGTTGTAGCCATGCTGCGACGATGTTGTGCCTAACTTTACCCCTCCAAGCAGCTTGAATCCTCTTCGCAGCGTCCTCGGTCGACACGATAGGGCGCTCGGTTCGTATCTTGACGTCGGCTGGGGGTGAACTAGCAGTCCGTGGCCGTCTGGGGTTGCGCTTGTACTCCAGCCTGCGCTTCTCGGCCTCTGCAAGCTTTTCCTCCATCTCGGTGCGGTATCGTCGTTCCTCAGCGGCCTTGCGCTCCTTCATATCTTCCGCAATCTTCTTGGCTCTCCTCACTTCCTCAGCACAGGAAGCCGCGACCTGTGCCAGGTGCTTCTCGCGGGCCTGCTGCGCTGCCAACGCCCTCTCTTCACTGTTCGAGCCACGTGGGGTAGCCTTGGCCAACGCCGCGCGCAGCCTGACCTGCTCAGCATGCGCGGCGCGGTCTGCTAGTCGCGCTTTGCGATCCTCGAGTATAGAAGCACGGCGGAGGTGCTGGGCAACATGGTGGCTCTGGCAGCTGTTGCGAAACGATCGATTGGACGTGTGCGAGTGTGTCGACGACAGCGAATTTCGGCGGGACGAGGTGGCCGAAGACTTGCGACGATTGCTGGTATGACGGTAGAAGCGGGCGGCGATGCGTGGTGGTGGAGCAAACGACTGGCCGTTCTCGGCGTCTGATGAGAGGATCATGTCAGGCTCCTCGGGGATGTCGTCGTTCTCCCGCTGCAGCTGCGAGCTGACCAGCTCCAGTTCGGAGTCGGTGAGGGACATGGTGTGTGAATGCGACGCCGCTCTCTAGCTCAGGAGTCGCGCGAGTGTGTCGGGTCTCTTGGGCAGACAGCCGTGGGAGGGTGTTTCCTAAGATGTGAAACGAAGCACGGTCTCGGTGGTGCTTTTTAGTGTAACAAGCCACAAGCGGACGAAGTAAGTAATAGCGACTATCTTCGCGCAAGAGTCAAAGATGGGAACGGGAACGAAAGGTGCAGATGTCCGTGGAGAGCGTGGTCACCGGACGAGTTGTATTGATGGATGATTGATAAGCTGTAGTGCCCTGAGAACGCCTGAAGGTGGGCACCGTGCGCACTGTAATGTATACACCGTCGTTACTGTAGCAGAGTAGTTGCGCGCGACGGCCTCTGTCGCATGCAGAAGAAGGTGAAATTGGTGGCTGGGGAAGGGTCCATGAATCACCTGCCTGACCGGAATACAGCATATGACGAAGTGAGGCCGCATACTGCCAAGACCTCGTAGCGGCTGAGCTGCCGAAGTTAATCGAACCGCGAAGATCCTCGATGCAATCCACGTCTCCACTCTCAGCCTTACCGACAGTGTCCGCCTCGTTCGTCGTCCAGTCGGCCTTTTTGTGCGCTAGAGACGATCGTCTGCGGTTCTCTCTAGCCTGTATACCCATGGGCAGGATGTCCGCGTCACATCA